TATAGCATTCAATCCTTTCTGTTACTTGGTCACAGGAGAGTGTTAATATATCCCCTTCTTCCTGAATTATTCTGCATACAGCTACCATACCTATACTTTTGCATACTCCTCCCCCTGTAACCTACAAATTCTTCCCTGACATTGTTTCTTCCTCACGCCTTTTCCTGATTATGTTCAACAATTTGGCATTTCATTTAAATTCGTGGCCAATATTTTAATCTCATATGAATAGCCAGACTTATTGCATTTTCTATTTCTTTGACTCACAACAAGCAAGTTTCTTTCTTCTGTTAAAGATTTGAGTAAATACTGGCTTTAAGGCTGCAATATTGTCAGAGTGGCTTTCTTACAATTATCTGTTACTTTCACTTGAGATTTTAAATAAAAAAGTGTTTTGCTTTAATTCTTACCTTCTTCTCCAGCTGCAGTTAAACTTTATTTGTTAAATACTTATTTGCTTAGGTCTAATAACACGCTGCTTTCAGTTCAACTGAAACAGAGTAGTCAGATGTGTGATTCTGTTGCATCATTTTTATTCCAATATCAGAATTTTACTTGCCTAAGAGTTGTGCAACTGTGTGGAGGATCAGGCGTGTACCTCTGGAGCGAACGTGCTGCTGTCCCAATAGTCAAACCGTGCACAGTGTTCCTGAAGTGATGAACTATACATCTCTGTGTGCTCATAACCACAAAAATGCAATCAAAAATGTCATTAGTTAAATAGTAGGAGCACAGTTTATGAATTGCTGATGATGCAAAAAATGGAATGGACCTGTTGGACCGAGTCTAGAAGAGGGTCACAAAGATGATCAGAGGGCTGGAGCACCTCTCCTGTGAAGACAGCTGAGAGAGTTGGGGTTGTTCAGCCGGGAGAAGAAGATTCTGGGAATCTTCTTCCGGGAAGACCTTATCTTTCAGTACTTAAAGGGGGCCAACAGGAGAGATGGGGAGTGTAGAGATACTCCCCAATACTATCAGGGAGTGGAGCGTTATGATGGGGTAATGGTTTTAAACTGAAAGAGGGGAGATTCAGGTTAGCTATTAGGAAGAAATTCTTTGCTGTGAGGGTGGTGAGACACCGGAACAGGTTGCCCAGAGAAGCTGTGGATGCCCCATCCCTGGAGGTGTCCAAGACCAGCCTGGATGGGGCTTTTAATATCCTGGTCTAGTGGGAAGTGTCCCTGCCCATGGCAGGGGGGTTGGAACTCGATGAGCTTCCAGGTGCCATCCAACCCAACCCCATCTGACCCCATAACCCCCAGGTTCTCACCCCGACATTAAGGTCTCTCCGCAGCCCGGCGCAAGGCGGCCAAGGGCGCCCCCTAGCGGCCCGCCGGGAACGCGCCCCCCAAGGCACCCGGCAACTTGGTGGTGGCAGCGCCCGACGTGACCGGGAAGGGGAAGAAAAGGCGAGTAGTTCTCCAGCCTGACCCGCGGGCTGCCAACGGAGCGAGCAAAGCTGGCTTTGAAATGAGCTCCTGCGGCTGAGTCACGGCTGGCAGCCCTGTGCCCGCCCCCGCTGCCTTCCCCCAGCTGCACCTGGTCAGCAGCGGTCCCCGCCCCGGGGGTCCCGCATCGCACCCCTTTGCTCCAGCAGGGCTCGGCAGCCTGGGCCGTTTGGACTCCTCATTGCCATTTGCTTTGGAAACTACAGCCTCTCATAAAAAAACAAATAATTTCGGGGGGGGGGAGGGAGTGGGGAGGGAAATAAAAGCTAGTTAAAAAGAAAATAATAAAACAAGTGAAAATAAAACTCCCTGGCGATGATTGCAGGAAATGTTCTTGCTGTTAATTGGCTGTCTAACATGCTCTTCCATAACGTATCCAGCCTCTGCTTAAAACACAAAGGTGAGGTAACTTTCAAGGTACAAAGCTTCTCTTGCGTCAGAGGCAGAGTATTTCTCAGCACAAGGAAATTCCCAGGCTGGAGGTGTATCGTACCCATTCCCACCTGCTCAGTTAAAAGCAAACACAAACATACAAACTTTCTCGTTTTATGGTGCATACTAGTACCTGGATTTATGTTAGAAAAGTTTGCTGCTGAAAAAGAGATTGACAATTTCCTGTTTCCCCCCAGCGACACAAGCGGTCAGTGTATATATGAGAGGCAATAATGAAGGTCCTGGAGTGGAGGGTTTGTGGTGATTTTCTTAGAGCACATAGCAAGATTTGGGGTTTTAAATCGGCACTGATCTGGGGCAAACACACCAACCCTGCAGCTGACAGGCGTGTGGATGAAGGTGCAGGAGCACTCCTGCAGGCGCAGCTGAGGAGAACAGACTATGTACTTAGGGAAAGCAAACAGGATAGCTGAATGTTTCCCAACAAGGGTCCCAGAGTTTCATAAATAACCCAAGCTACCGGCCAAATAACAGAAGCGAAAGTTTCTGTTTTAAATAGGGAGAAAAAACCAAAGAGTCGAGAGAAGGATGTGAGCAGCCCGCAGCAAGGGCTGGCGGTCAGGCAGCACTGAAAGTCCTGCCGGGCTCTGCAGCCTCTGACCAGCAGCACAATGGATGTTATTTATGAGGGACGCTGGTTCCAGCATCAACATACATATGACAGAGGCTGGGTTTTTAGCCAAGCCTTTACCTCGCTCTGGTCCCTTCTGAGTGTTTCAGTCGCCTCATGCTCTCACAGCTCAGGAGCGCTCAGCCTTCAGCCTCATGGGCTTCCCTGTGCTCGCTGCTGCTCAGCAGGGCACACGCAGCCTCACCCCCACCTCACAATCCTCTATAAATTCTGCTGGAATGGAGGACAGGAAAGACTCATTTCTCACATGCCTACTTCAGGTCAGGTAGGATGTGAGATAAAGAGCTACCTAAACACCCAGCTTTACATGAACACAGAAACGTTTTCAGAAGGGAATTGGTTATGTGCCTTATCTTAGAAACAGAAATTATTCTTGATGCTTTTTATTCCCAGCACTGTTGCAATATCTACAGTATGGAGACAAAGTGCCATCCTGTTTACTTTTATGGTTCACCAAAGTTTTTGATTAGCAGTCTGTATTTGTAAAAACAAAGACACACAGACCAAACAGCACAGATACCCCAAAGACACAACAACCAGCAGGCCAACAGAAGTGGTTATCAAGGCCCCCACTTGCTCTGCAAAATTTTTATGGAGATACAATTGAAAGGGTGAGTGGAGCCCAGGCACAGCTCTGTTTGTAGATAGAAGTTAATGTGTGTGGGGAAAAACATTTTTGCTTATGAAAAAATAATTTAAAAAAAGATTTGTTTTTAGAGTTGACATGCCTCTGTAGGCACCAGACCCCTACAGCTTGGAAGAGTGAGGATGAACTTTTTAGGAGGATTACAGAGAGTCCTATTCAACATGTGAAAAGGATGAGCTCTTTTAAAAGAGTAAACCACACAGTTTCATTATGTATAAAATAAAACACGTAGGAACTCTTAAGAGTGTAATAGAAAATGAAACTTGGAATCAAGCTTCCGTCATGTTACATATTTGGGTAATTCTCAGAGAACCATAAGCCAGCAGAAACAGCTGTTAAGAATTGCTCATTATACTTACTGTTAGCCAGAGAAAAACAAATCCTGAAGGCCCTTGATCTATTTTGTTAGTTAACCTAAATAATACAGTAATTGCTGTACAGAGATGTATGGGCCAATATTTAGCCCCAAATCAATAATTGGCCGGGACCAATTTACTCTCTTCGATGCGAAATGCAGTCAGTCGGGGAGAGGGCAGGAGGAGCAGCCTGTGCACACAAGGCAGGAAGGTCATTGGAAATTGTTGAACCACGATCAAAGGAGTTGGATATTTTTGTGTGTGCTGTGTGCAACACGTGAGCCTTCCTGCAACTGCAGGGAGCAGTCAGAACTGTTTTACAGCGTAGTCTGGGGGTTTATTTTAAAGCAAAAGCATTTTTTGAGTTAAATGGAGGAAGGGCTATGGTGTGGTTATGACTAGGTCACAGCATGCTCAGTTCAGTGCCCTCTTCCTGAAGTCAAGCAAGTAATTTAGTTTTTGAAAACCAGAAAGAACCATGTTTCCTTTGGTAAAACACGAGACAGACAGTCCTAGTAGCTGATCATTAGATTCATACCTCCGGGTTCTTGTTGAAGGCTACTGCCACCAAGATCTGCAAACAAAGGTCTCTCAGCCTGCTGAGCCAGCTCCTTTACAGCTCACAAACTCCCAGCCTCTGCCCTCCCTCGTGGCTCTTCTATTTATACGGCCCAGGCACCAGGACCGGTGGGCTTCAGGCCACATCCCAGCCATTAGTGTCTGTGGCCTTTTAAGAAAGTCTAGGTCTCTGTCCCAGTCAGTCTGTAAAATGAAAGTATCTACAAGCAATCCCCACAGATGTTAAAGGATCCACCATCTGTGTCAGAGGAAACCTGCTGCTTAAGTCCTTGCAAGACTGATGAGTTACAGCAGAGACCTTTGCTCTCTGAGGGTTTTGAATGACCTCTCTAATTTCTGAGAAGCTGGAAGTGCAGCCTCAACTTGAGCCTCCTTTGGACTTCTATCATCTTTCTGTGGTGAAACTGGAACAAATTATCTGAACAGGTTAACATCCAAGATCAAGGATAGGGCTCCACAGTCAAAAAGAGGGTTTCATTTGTTTGATATTCTCTGGCAGCCTTCTGCCTAGTGGGTGGAGGTAAGAGGAACAAAAATCTGTGCTTACCTAGCGTGAATGCTTGCCTTGCCAAGAGCCAATGCCTGTAGCTCACACAACAGCCACCCACGACTACAGCATCACTGACCACAGATTTTCAATCATTCTTTATCCTAAACAAAACTCATTATTTTTCCTTATCTGCAGGTGTTTAATTGTCACTGTATGGAGGCCCAGAGTCCTCTGAGCATTACCGCTGTGCTGCTGCACAATGGCAGGCAGGAGAGGAGAACAGCAACCCACCCCAGCTCCCACCAGGCTCACTCTGACGCTCCTCCTAAAGCCAACGTGCGCTTCTGTCCAGGGAGCAGCCGTGGCTGTTCTCAATGTAGCAGTCTGCACCAACAAGTAAATAAAAGTAAAATTTATTTGGCATAGGACAGAAAAATAAGGAGAACAAAATCACATACAAAATAAATGTTAAGCAAAAAAATATTCACAGAACTAGATTAATATTTTATAAAAAGCTCAAACTGTAAGTATCTGATAAAAACATCTTACTTTCTGCTCAGCCTACGTTTTAAGTTATGTTTCACTCTCTTTCACAGACCTGCGTGGCTTTGGAAGTCCAAATTTAGATGTCTTCCTTTGCATGCTCTAGTTTACACTAAAGAATATTTAGCACAAAGTGTATTTCAAAGAGGCAACGTACTGAAGGGTTACTCCCTCTTTTAAGACGTGCGGGTCCCATTTTTCCTTTTAGACTACCTACCTACCTGCTGTGTGCTCACTCACTGAGAATACACGTGCCCTGCTTCTGCTGAGTAACTCCAACAAGGCCCTTTTTCCCAATGGTTGAGGTTTACATTTTAACCAAACGGTCCAGACATTTCCACCTTACAGGCTACAAGATCCCTGTTGTCTCCCAACATATATGAAGAACCATTCCATGAATTAGCTACACTTAATGTGTCATTGGATATCTCAGGGAAGAGATTCCCCTTATGATGTGATGAACCCCATTTGGAAGATTAAAGTTCATACAACACATGTCATACAGAGTCGATGTACCGCCATAACAGGTTGTTTGCACCTGACTATGAGACAACAGTTCTCATGCTATTGTGATGTGGCATTACACACGTGTACATTTTATATCCTAATTTGTAATCTAGTATTGATAGCAACATTTGGCCAATTGGTTTTTATTTCCTTGAGCAATCTTCTCCTATCCAGCATCCTGTGGCTGAGGGGCCCTCTCTAGGTCTCTTGACATTTGACATTCTGCTTGAAATAATCCCAGTTTGGTCATTCAACTCCATTCTTTGCTTCCAAGGCAAAAAGTACCCTTTCCATTTCCGTACTTCTGCACGGGAAATGGTTGTGTTACAATATATGTGAAGCATGACAGCAGTTTAGTTCTCTCATCCTCTGCTCCAACAGAGACCTACTTCCACAAGTGGCATGTAAACAATTATTGCTGCAAGGAGAAACTACTGTCCATTTTTTTAAGTGACAATTTAAGGAACTTCTTTAATAGTTCAGTCTGGCAGAAAAAAAGAAATCATTCTTGTGATTCTTTTAGTGTTGGGAAATTCTGGCTTCTAAACAAGAACTTTGTGACCTTATTTAAGAATCAGTTCATCTACAGAATTACATGTTTCCTGAAGCACAAGATGAACTTCCTTTAACAACTCTGAACATTAATCACTGTGAACTCTTCTCCCAACGGCTGGTGCAGAAAGTCATAACAGACACAACAAGTGCTTTTCTTCTAAAAATATTGAGCAGAAATTATTGTCATGTGGTACAAAAGTTATTCCCATTTTATTCACTGACTTGAATGAAACAAGAACGAACATCCATGGCTGTTGTCACACAATCTTAGTGATGACATAAAAAGATAGTTTGAGGCGTGAAGGTTTATAATACAGTGCCATTGAAACAAACCTAGTAAATCTTCTATGCAAGCAGTGAATCAAATGTAGTCCACCTGTGCAACCCACACTGAAGTCAGCTGGGCTGTATGGGCAGCAGAGTGAGACACTGGTTTGGGGAAAGGATTCAATTTCCAGAGCAATACCAACGATTGGTTGTGAGGCTAACCAGTGCCCACCTACACCTCACCTAAAGACTGTTCCAAGAGTCTCTCTGTACTCTGAACTCAATCTGAATTTAGCAGACTGAGTGCTTTACAACAGCAGGACTTGGCTCAAACACTGTATAATGCTACTGTCGGCACTATTTACATTAGGACTCGGAGGAGCAACGCCCACTAATTTTTCTAGTGAGACACAGAAAAGTTGACTAAAAAAGTCATAAGGCACCATTGTTTCAGTCTGTTTCGTATTCTTTTTTAACACTTCATAGTGAAATAAATACTTTAATACTGATCATATTGTAAATACTACTCATACATGAAGCAATATATTGAATGATAAAATGCTGCATTGTTCTGGAATATATCTAGGGACTTTTATTGCAAAAGATATAAATAGTAAGGTTGCTGTTAGGTGAAAAAAATACCTCTTTCTGCCTTGTTGAGCTATTTTACATATATGCCAAACATCCATTCTGAAGAGGCTTCTATAGTACAAAGAAGTGCTAAAACCCAAGCAGCTCAGGTTTCTTGGATTGTTGACTTGAGGGCCTTTTACACACACATTTTAAAGTTGAGACAGAAGCTGGTTTGCCAAGTCTTTGGTAGTGGTCCAGAATTTCTTGTCAGAAAACCTTGCTCTAAAGATCAAATATAGAATACTTGGAATGATGTGGAGAGTTGGCAGAACAATGTGCAGCATTTTCACTGACTTACTCAAAGTAAAACAGTCATGCTGGAAGTAGGTAAGTTACAAAAAAAGTATAGTTTCTGGAGGTTTGGTGGTTTTTTGGTTTTTTTCTTGGATGCATAGCTCTTTCAATATGAATAAGGATTTGACAGGTCAAGGTACTGAAAATATTGTATTCTTAAATTCAGAATGTTGTTCCTTAGAAAGTTATAAGTGCTTCAGTTTAAAAACATGAATACAATAATTTATCCTTAAGTTATTATCCTAAAAATCTTATTTGGACTTCTATTCACATAATAATATCCCAAAGAGAAAGGCACTTTAAGTGACATCCATAAAATACATATACAAATTCAGTATTGTGCTAGGTTTGATCCCGAGGTGCACCTGTCACATGGCGGTCCCACTAGTATCTGTTTAAGAAACTCTTACAGCCATAATCCTGCAATTAGATGTAGATACATCCCTGCGCCTGCGCATTTAATTGCAGGTTCAAGACCATAAACAGTAACTTAAAGTAGGTCATTAGATATAAAAATGTAAAAACCAGGTACATAACCAAATGCTATCACAGCTAACAAGATTTTGTAAACAAACACTGAAAAGGCCAAATGAAATTTGATCTGGCCAAATCCAACTCTGTCTCATCCCCTTCACTGTGACTGCCCAGGCTGTCGGGGGGATCTGCCCCTCCACACCCACTGACAGAGCAAAAAGCTCTAGGCACAAACGCTTCAGTGGGGTCCAGACTCTCCTCAGCTAAATTCCTTAGATTTTTAAGGACTGACCTATTCTAGCCACAGAGCATGCTTAGGATCTTGTCTCCCACGCTAGAGAAACATTTTCTTAACCTACATGACTACCACTTTTTTTTTTGTTTGTTTTTGAGCAACTCCCTGTGAAGCATGACTGCTGATACAGGCTCAACAGGGATGCTGAGGAGTATGTTGAAGAAACAAAACTGTTGAGGAGACAGAGGACAAATTTTTCAGAGCTAATCTTCAGAAGTCCAATTAACAAAGAGCTATCATTGAGCAAATTATAATTATCATCTTCCTCTAACTTCCAAAGGCCTTTTATATGAATTTAGAACCATTTGTAAAATGCACTCATACAATGAACTCTTTTCTCACCTACAAAATTCAAAAGCCATTAAACATATTAACCAATTATCACAATGTTGGAATACTTTTCTCTTAATGTAAGCCTTGCAGCTCTCTGCAGAGACTCCCTTCAGCAATGTTTGAAAGGATAGGCTTCATGGTAAACTCAAAGGGCCAGATCTTCCCATTTCTCTTGAACCAGTGCAGACAGCAAATTTTGGAGCTAATGCTCCCACTCAAATGCACGAACCCCACACCTCCTTCACTACATCAAAGGGCTTTCACTTATACACATTTTTGACCTCAGCTGCTCTACTGCAAAGCAAGTCAAATACAAAATCTCTCTGAGACTTGTGACCTAAGGCCCAGGAAGCTTCTTAAGTCAAACCCCATCTTTTAATTGTACCAAAGAAACAACTGGAAAGCAGTCGGTGGTGCACTGATGTTAGCGATGCTGTACAGAAGGAGCTTGCAACTACAGTAATTGTTGCATTTGCACCAAGACTACTTTCTGAGGACTCTTCTCTTGTAGCCTCAGGTAGAGGGCATTACAATAATCCAGTACACAGACAACTGTGGGTTGGTCCACATCAGAGCAGGAAAGAATTAGGTGACTAAAAGCATAACACTATTAAAAAACAAGGAAAAAGGGATAAAATAAAAAGACATTTTTGCGCTGCTGAATTCTTCACTTGTGCTTTTCTTTGGAAGATTCTCCACAGTTAAAAACAAGGCCAGACATACTCCATCCTTGGATGTGCTATCTATTGTTTAAAATAAGGTTTGCTTGGGTAGGCTGAAGTGAAAAGATTAAGGATGAACTCTTGGTCACCATGTAGTAGGTCTATGGCTTGCAGAAGCAGATGGATCAAGTTAGGCACGGAAAGAAGGATCCAGGGGACTCTTGGCTACACGGTTTTCCCCAGCAACTGTTTTTTTAAACAGAAAATAGACTGTACTTTACCATTCAAATAATACAGCCACTGTACCCGAAGTGAATGAAACAGCTTTGTTCCGTTAGATTCAAAGCCAGACCTCCCGTGGAGCTCTCAAGGGGACAGGGCTGGACATGGTAAGCATGATGCACGTATGTTGTATATGGTCCACAAAATGCCTTTCACAACAGCCTGCAGTATAAGCAAATAAAATGTATAGCTTTGAGCAACTATAGTTCATAAGCTGCGTCTATTACTTCTGTAATAGAGACTGAAGTTTGTTCCAGCTGACAAGCCAAAAGTGGAAATAAAGCAAAACAGACATCTTTCCAATGATGTGGACAGAAGAGCTGACTCGAAGGAAACTCGAAAACAGACGATGCCCAAAGCTGGGCCAGAACCCATTTCACCTCGGTATAGGCGGAAGCGGGGGGGCACCTCTTTCTTTTCGGCCAGAGCCACCTACAAGAGAAGGAAAGTTTACATTCAAGCCACTAATTCAGTAACTGGTGAAGATCTACTAATTTTCTTGGCCAGCCATTTTACTAAAAAATCTTTGTAGAGTTTCCAGTTAGTTTATTAAACAACATCAGAACTTCAAGCAGTGTAAAAAAAAGTTTGTAACTGACACTACCCCCAAACGTCTGGAAAGCACGTGTATTTCAGTCCTCTGTCCCCTTCTCAAAGCAGATTGATAGCTCTTGTTAACCTTACTCTTTCATGTAAACACATAACCTTCTCAGTGCTACTTGCGACACATGCAGATTTCAATGAAAGTAGCAAGCTCTAAATACAGTAACATTTTAAAATTCTTCATGTTTTTCCCTATATGAAGATTTTCACTGCAAACTCATGAAGGGAAACATTAAAAATGCATACATTACTTTGCCTTTCTTCCTGGAGTAGTATGACTGGGATGAAAGCTAACAGGGCAAAGTGAAGGGTCAGAGACTAACAGGAATTTCTGCTCCAAACAAAAACCTCATCATTTGGCAACAGGAGAGAGAGAGAAACATCTGAGTGTACCGATGATTACAGGATAACTATGAGCCACCGATGTCACGGGTTGTGAAAGAAGTAAATTGTTCCTTGGGTGTATCAGGCAAAATATCACTAATGAAGATAGGAAACATTTATGCTGCTGCAGAAGACATGGTTGAGACCTGAAGTGGAACAGCGTGTAACACTGATTGGAAAAGACAAAGTCATACTGAAATGTATACAGAGGCAACCCTGACAACCAGAGAACATACCTTGGAAGCACAGCGTAGTACACCCCGATTTAATTAGCCTAGCTAAACAGAAGCTGAGAGGATGATACGACTGTTGTCTTAAAAAATATTAGGGGGTTAATGCACCAAGGAGGGAGGATAACTAAACTCAAGGATGATGCTGGCACAAGAATAAATGAGTTGTGCATGAATTTAGATAGGAAATGAGGAGGAAGTCCTAGGGGAGTTTGTGGTTCTGGCTGCCTGTAGCAGAAGGGCTGACTGTAATGGCAGAGGTGGATTCTTACAATACATGTTTCAACTTAAAAACCAAACAATTCTCCCCTCAAATACAAGTTTAAGAGGGCTTGTGCCTATGAACCTGCATTTAGCTTTTTTTTTTTGTGTGGTAGGGAAGGGTGGTGACCAGGCTGTTAGTTTGAGAAGTTTTGAAACCTCAGCATACAATCTCTTCCCCATCCATGTTGTTTTTAGGATGATACACTGAAATTCCAGCAGCAGAGGTGGAACAAACTTACCTCTACTTTCATTTCTTGCTAGTTTACTGGGATAACTTCTGTTCACGGGCACATATGGCTCTGGAGGTGGCAAATCAGATATAGGATGAAAAGAAAATCTGCTTTCCCACTCATCTGAAAAAAAATCCCACACAATTTACTCATTAGTTTTGTGACACAGCTTGAGGAAGGTAAATTGACACTAAGATCAGGTTAAATGCATGGTCTATATTGCAAAATGCTTACATAGCTGAGTATTGAACTGGCATCGTATTGGGAAGTGAGGGAAGAAGATGCTTTGGGTTAGTTTGAGAATGAAAATTCTTGTTAACTTTAACTGATCACTTGGCCAATCTAACGCAAAATCACAGATAAGGTAAATGGCCATAATTACACTGAAATAAGCGCTACATTCCCTTCCACATATAATAGACCTGCTTTTTTAACACACACGTGCATACGTATGCTACCAGAAATGCATCGTGTTTCCTACTTCAGAATAGTATTCCGTTCCTGAGTACAGAGTTTTCAGATATTCATACTTCCTTGATATATGAAGCAAAAAAGTGTCATTAAAACCACACTGACCCATAAGTGGTGTTTTTTCTTTCTTGATTTTTATACAGGAAAAAGAAAATTTGGGGCAGTTATGATAAAATTTATGATGACAGAGAAACCTTCATGTAACTAGTGTCAAAAAGGGAGAAATATACCAGTTGAAACTGTATCTCTTGAGATTACAAGGGCCCTATTGTATCAGTATCTTCATTGAAATGATAGGAAATGTTTTTGGAGCTCTGTTCTCCACTTAAATTTAGAGGCCCAAGTAAGAAAGCATGGGCTACCCTAAACTTTGTCATTTCTTCACTAGGTTGCTTCAGGACTTTGCAACCATAACTTTCTTGCAATATTGTTATATTTTATTGCATAATGTAGCAAACAGCTGAGTAAGTTTTGCCTGGCAGTTGTACATGTGGTTATTTGCTGGAATCCAGTTTTTCTATGTTTACTCCCAATGGTTGCAATTAGAAACCAGCGTGTAAACGAGCTGCAGGTTCTGAACCCTGCAAATGACTTGCGTAGCAAAAAATGTTTCTGTGACCCACCGGCCTTACCTGATGCATGAAGATGCTTCAAAAGCGTGACTTACAGTTTTATTTTCTGCTTGCTTTTCTTAACCTTATAAATATCAGAAATACCAATTTTGGCCTTCCATAATTAGCTCAAAGATTGATCTGTCCTTTGCAAACAGAGAGCAATTAAAAGAACAGTATGTTGAATCTTTAAAACAGCCATCTTGGACCTCACCTTTTCAATAAACACTAGCAAAAAGAAAGAGACTTGAGATTTTCAGCAGCGTTCTGACAATCTCTTCCCTCATCTGTTTTTCAGCTTTCAGCTCTTGAGTCATCATCTAACTCGTTTTGACTTCCAAAGAGTCTTAGTGTAGCTATGGTTTGAATTCTCAGCAGAGTCAGAACAACCCCCTTAGGCTTTGTTTCTGTATTGTAGCAAAGCAAAGCATGATGAATATGTTTCTTTTTTTCAGGCTATTTTTCAAAGGGTTGTTTTGGAGACTGTATTGAGAGCTTTGCATTTCTGCTCTACGTATGGAATATTTACTCTGTTCTTACTTGGCAGGGTTAATTGAGACCCAAATGACACCTCTGTTGGTCAGAAATCAAAGGTCTGCACTAGAACCAAAGCCTCTATCCTGAACTTTTTTTGATGTATTAAGACCAAAAGCCACTACACAGTCTCTATCAAAGGCAAACAACTGGGAGGATGGCTTACCATCACCTGGATCCTGGAAGCCATTTCTGACAGCTGATGAAGGCGGTGGTGGTGGTGGTGGTGCTACCGAGCCCGGCCGGTCAGGGGGAAGTGGTGGTCGTGGTCCACCTCTCTGGTTCTCCAGCCCTGCCCGGGAGGGCAGCTGGGGAGTAGCGGGCAACGCTCTTGAGGTGCTTCCATTCCTGCTTATGGGAGGAGGTGGCGGGAGGGGGCCTGGAGCAAGACAAGAGGCAAACACACAAATGTCATTTGCACCAGAGGTTATTCTGCTGGTCGTAAGATGCTGCCTGTGTCCCATGGCAGGCGTCCCACTAACAAACCAGAGAGGGTGGGCTGGCTTAGGACCCTTGGCCCTGAGGGGGAACTGTCCTCAGCACCCGTCTCCCTGATCTCCAGGGCTCTCTAGGGAGCTGGTGCTGATTTGAAGGGTAGAGATCAGAGGAGTACTCTATATCTAAGCATAAATACACCTTGGTGTCCATATTTCCATTTTACTCAGCCACAGAAGCCTCTGTAGAGGTACTGGTCCTTGAAGCCACTTTTAAATCACTCTATGTTGGCCACAATGAGAAGAAGTTACAGCTGGAATTCAGGGTATTGTGAAGTTCCAAATCATAGCCCATCTCCTTTCCATGTACTATCACAAGGCAAGAGAATACATAGCAGAAAAGCTCTGCTACCCTTACAGGCTCTTTGCCCATAGGGGTGGTCCCCTCTGGGGGTCACAGCCAGGGTATGTGGTGGTGCACAGGGGAATTGAGCCCAGGAGTGGCAGCATTAAGCAGCACGGCATCACCTCACTCACTTATAAGTGCATGTGCTGCATGCCAGGTTTTTTGGTAGTTGGAGGATATCCACCTCCCGCTAAACTAGAAACAGACCTCACAGGTAGACAGACATTCCTAGTGTCTGAGCATCTGAGTAACTGGCGTGGGACAGGTCAAATAGGAAGGTGCAGCCCACATAACAGAGGACCAGCACTGTCCTGAGGGCAGGGAAGGGCACGTTTCAGAGAGGAGTGGGTAAATACAGGCAAGAAGGCTGCTGCTGCCAGGGAGAGAGCTACCCATGGTTAGGACACAAGGAGATGAAGCAGAGGGTGTGGAGGGCTATGCATGTTCAAAGGTCTAGCTACCTCAGTTTGGCCAAGTTGGGCAACTGACTATTATGTTTATTTTTATGGAATGCTTCCTTGTCCTGATGAAATCTAGCTACAGACTTGCATTTTGAAAAAGAGACCAGCAGATACATTGTGTCTCCAGCAACAAGCATTGAAACATGCTTCAAGAAACATGCTGTACTTTGTGGGGTTTTCATCCCCCCTGCCCCCCCTCTTTTTTTTTCTTTAAAAAAAAATTACTTGTTTGCCTTCAGGGAGTGGTTTCTAAGAATAAGAAGCATTCAGCAACTTTCCAAATAGTTTTGCTTGCTCTCTAAGCCTATCCAAACCAAATCATCTATATTGAACCGCTGCAGAATAGGAGTATTTGCATTTATAATGTATTGCTACAACTTCCTTCTACTTATTAAGCCAGCAGAAAGACAGTGCAGATTTGCTAAAACTATCTGCCTTAGAAAAGAGCCAACCAGGAAAGCAGCGGTGGGAGCAGAGGCCAGAGAAGCAGCTCTTGGAAGTGTCTGAATAACTGCAGATGGTCTTTGCAACTTTCATTCATGCTCCCAGTCAAACATGACAAGATTTCTCTGACTTATTTACTGCAGGCTGCGCTGGCATTGTGCCATCCTTCAGGCTGGCAACCAGCTCAACAAAGCACGGTTTCGGGGCCAGTATTTTCTGTAGCTGCATGGCCGCTGCAGGTGCTGTGCTATAGGAGATCCAGGCTGGCTCAAGGAGCTGGAAAGCAACACGGGTGGCTGTCGCCTGTGGGAGCTCCCGTGACATTCGGCTCGATTGTCCAGGACTGGGTGGGTCTGAGATGATTCCAGATTTTTATTCCCAAGGATGAAATGAAAGGCAATTTTATGGAGCTTTCCAGCATTGCCTTCTGTGCAATGCTTCTCCCTTCCTGACGTTAGAGGGCCTGGCTGTTTGGGGCTAAATCCTCTCATCTCCAAAGGGAGAACCATCAGGTATTAAGAGAGCTAAGTTACAATGTGCAATTCTTAAAAGTTATGAACAACAGTTGTCACAGAGGACAACGTGTATTATGAAATAACCCAAAGGAGACTATTCTATTTTTAGTCTCATCTGAAATCTGCCTATGGTAAGTAACAGCAGTTAGTCCCGCTGTAACAACTGCTATTATATTTAACAACTGTTAAACTGTGTCTTTTATTAAAATAATTTGTATTTGGCTATAAGTGTGCGTGTCTCCCAACACGTAGGAGGCTGCGTTCTGCAAACCTCCATTCATGAGAACGCCACCATTAAGTCGCGCCTCAGGAAGGCCAACGCTGTCACCTATCAGAAGCCAGATAAAGCAGCTTCTTTGCATCAAAGAACATAATGGGGAAACCCCCTCTTTGCAATCCTTTTTAATTACAGTAATTATAACGAAATCTGATATTTTGCAGATACTTTGCTGATATCTGCAGAAGCAGATGTGAGCAGGCTGGTGACGCACAGTGACCTACCTTCAGCCACCGTGATGCCCACGAACCCCACGCCCAACTGCAGGATCCCTCGTGCCGAGCGTCACCGCTCGCTGCCCACGCAGAGCACGGCAGCAGCATCACGCCTCGCACATGGCGAACAAGTGACGCCCCAGCTGAGGCCACCTGATGCTGCTCCTTCTGGGTGACAGTGGGCAAAGCACCTGCAGGGCTCCACTGGGGCTGGGCGGCTGAAGATTTTGGGTTCCACTCCAAGGGGCATGGCCAAATTGAGAAATTTCTCCTTTCCATAAAGAATCTTCACCTTTACCTCTCAGCATCCATCTACCCAACCCCTGTCACGGTACCGCCTGTGGGACCCTCAGTCCCCCCCGCTGCCCCGGCTCCCTACCTGACCGGCTGGGGGGGTCTCTGACGGGCGGCGGGGGTCTCTCGCTGGGCGGGGGGGGCAGGGGTCCGGAGCGGCCCCCCCCGCCGCCGGGCGCCGAGGGGGATCCCAGCGAGAGGTTCCTCTGGGGCAGCCGCGGCATCTCGTCGCTGCCGCCGGGGACGGGCGGGACGGGGGGCGGCCCCGGC